CGGCGGCGGCGTTACTTGTGAAATGATTAATTTGTTAATTTTTCAATAAAAATGCAATAAATCATTAAAATTATGATGGAGCAATAAGGAGCAATGAAGGAGCAGTCGTTCTATGCCGGATTTAGTTGCATAGAATTATTATAAATATGTTTTTCAATAAAAATTAGAAATTTTTCGTTTTTATTAAATATTTCAAAAAATAATAATTTTAAAAGGGGAGCAATTGTTGATTCTGAGGGAGCAATTAGGGAGCAATTGTTTGAGCTATAGTTCATTAAAAAATATGAACTTGCAGCGCCAACTTATTTCCGGTCCCCGAAGCCGGATGGCCGCTCTCAGGTTTCTCTCTGGTTGCTACATGTCGTCGGTATGACAGGAATCATAATCTGATTCCTGTCAACTCGCGTCGCGGGGCAGAGCGACACTTTTTTCTGCCAGATTCATTCGTTTCGTGCAAAAACGCGTCGATTAAGCCCACGGTCTTACATACAGGTCTGGAAACTCTAGTGGTGGGGGATGGTCGCCTTAGCGACGAAGAAAATAACTCGCTTTGTGACCGTAAGAGTCGCTGCCATCGGTCAGTGTATTATGTGGTAGGACAAGGACGGAAATAGTAATTAGTAAATTCAAAATCGTGAGTGTCAAATAGGCAATAATTGAAGTTTCAAATGAGGAAAGGAATAATAAATAACTTTGTATTAAGAATAAAACGTTGGAAATCTTTTTATTCGTTTCTTTATAAGGACAAATACTGACCGAGCGATACTGAGGGAATAAAAATTGTGCGTGAAGCATATATAATACTGTGCCTTCCTAGTGTGTTTTAGATTGCTAAATGAACAATATAGACAACACGATTTTTGTTTTACAATAGTTAGTTATTTCGACCAAGCTCTTTTTCATTCTTTATTTGGAATTTAATTATAATAAAACAATAAGAAATAATTTACTTTGTAAGATATAATGTTATTTTATGGAAAAGAAATATCTCTCTTCGAATACAAACGATATCAATAAACAATATCAATATAAATTGTTTCTCATAACGAGAAACTTAATTCTAACGAACACCGGATCATAAAAAAACGGAAGGCCAATTATACGAATGCGCAAATTAATAAATTGATATATAATTTATTCTTAATTTACAATATTTAAAGATGACGCGTGATTCTCGGTATGAGAGCGGTTGACTTGTATTAATTCTGATTCTTACCTTACGTATGCCTTGGTTTTATAAGATTAATTAGAAAGTTGAAGGCTATGAGTAAAGGAATATGAAGTAAATAATAATTACCCGTTTCGAGAATCCATAGTTAATTTACAGGTTTCAATATTTATATACATTCTTATTCCAAAAAATATCAATGTAGTTGTACACATAATCAAGGTCGATATCGACCTTTTTACTGTGACTAGTTACAGTTATTTAAAGAAAGAAAATGTCATAAAAAAAGATTTACATGAGAAAGATGTTATTTTCAATCCATGTCGCTGTCCATGTCCTCAGGAGCCGAAGAAAGTATTTCAACTTAGCTCAAAGAAATAATAAATGACTTTGCATTAAGAATAAAACGTTATAAATCTTTTTATTCGTTTTAAGAAAACCATTTATTCGTTTGTAAGTTTAGACAATTTTTTTTTTACAACAAATTTTTTAATTAGCTTTAAATTCTCCTGATGGGCATTTTGCCGCATTCTCAATCTTATATAATAAATTAAAGCATACGATAAAATATCCGAAGCGTGATTCATGCAAGGAAAGGTAAATTTATACGTATCCAAAACTTCTTCAAGCGTTAAATCAAATACATGCAAGTGCGAGGCATATTTTGCAAAACACGATTCAACATATCGAATAAGATGAAAAAAATGGTGGTTTGCATGCTTCAAACCACCGCGACTTTTCATGTTTACAAATTCAGCGACTGAGGATGTGCAATCTGAGTTAACTATGATGGCATCTTGACAAGTACTGCATGACTGATATTTTTTTAGAACCTGCTTACACAAGTAACCTGGAAGTATAATGTAAATTTTCTTAATTTTTTCACGAGGCCCCTGTTCAGGTAATCGATCACGTAATTTCAGGTAAAACTTTTCACTTTTTACTCTATCTATTCCGCGTAAACTTTTTTGTTATTAATGAGACGTTTCTATGTTTCGAGTTACTGAAAAATTTCACTTTTCACGTTTCCATTCTAAGGCTGGAGTCCCATGGCATGTATTTTCCGCGTAACGCGTAACCGCGTAACCAATTAGAAACGTTTTGCATTTTCGGTTATGCATATTCGCGCTTCTGATTGGTTACGCGTTACGCGGAAAATACATGCCATGAGACTCCAGCCTTAGGGAAAAGTTACGTGATCGCTACTTAAGCTCAGGAAGAAATGGCGTAAAATAATTTATTTAACGAAAAACTTCTAGATCTCGTAAAATACCCAATAGAATATCTACTCATGCATATATAGTTATTGTACCACAGCAAGTATTAATAAATATTAACGTTATCTATGTACATACATTAAGCAATTTTTGGCGTAACTCTGGTATAAGCAACCAAAGTGTACCAAACTGCAACCACCGATAGCAACCTTGGTATATGTACCAAACTATACCAAACAATCACCAAAAATTGCCTATTGTTACTAAGATTTTATATACATTGACAAAAAAGGTTAAAACAGAAAACCTGTCACATAATAAATTATGCAGTCTAATGTTGGGGAAAGGGTAGAATCATGCTCGTAATTAAATTGTATGACGTCGTCAGCCTCCCAATCTTTCTGTTTTAAAATGCGGTCTAACTTTTGTTGAAGTTCTTGTTGATACTTATAACATTTTCCCTCGGATTTTTCTCCGTAAGCTGCTTTTATATCGCTTAATGATATTAGCACCTGCGGTAATGTTTTCTCGGTAACTGTACAATTGCCGTATTTAGGCGGCTTTATGACACTTACAAAGACAGCAATTTATAAAGTTGTAAGAAAGTTGGACAATTCGGATGATCATTACAACCAGCTGCTTGTCGAATTGTGCCAAAAAACTTCTGAAATAGGAAAGAAATAGAAACAGGTAATGACCTCTTACACACGGGACACGGTAACGCTTACCGCGCGGCGAAAGTTGGCTAACCAAATCTTGAGCCGACCAAATCTTGTAATGTACATGTTACCGGTAAATAGTGTAGGCATTACAAGAGTACATAATATAAGTATTGTAAGTGTTGCAGGTATATATTTATGTTTGATATAAACTCCAGTACACATTTATATAAAATATAAATGATTTATATAAACATAAACCCTAATACATTTTGTTGTAAGCTTGTTTGTGTATATTGTATAGTGATCTCGTCAATGAGATGGGGCAAAACGGCAATACCTCCAAGTTGTCTTGGTTCACTTTTCCTGTGAGCAGATACTTGAAATTGAATTTGTCGATAAGATAATGACACAGATCCATCGTAGATTGCAGTGACATTTTTAATCCTGTCGCAGTCTCTTTCGTTAAAAATTCGTCAGCCATTATATCGCCTTTATGCACACCAGATTCCCATTTTTGCAGCCACTGCAGTGAATCTTTTAATACCTGAAAAAAAGGTTTCAATTTCATAGAGGCATCGTCAAGACGAGAAGATTTTAGGATATGTATGGTATGTTATCAGAAAGAAAGAAAACAATATGTGTGTGTGTGCGTGTAAATTGTAGTGCATCCCAATAAGATAAAAATTAAAAAAAAATCATCTATATTAAAGATACATTAAATGACATTGAGCTTCAACAATAGTAGTGTTAAGTTATTAATAAAACAGTTTGAAAAATGTCTGAAAATACATCCTAAAGTCCACGTTTTTTCTATTTTTACCTTGAAGTCATTAGATTGTGGTGTAAGTCCTTCATTGGGAGATTTTCGATTTAAGGCATCAAACATATCATTCATTCGTTTCACAAAAGCAATTGTCTCTTCACATCCAGCAAGCTCGTCACATCCGTGCGACTTATAAAACTTTAACCCTTGCGCTACAGAGTTACTGAAAATCTATAAATTAAAAACATTACTGTTATCAATGTATAATAATAAGAAATGTAGATGATTCGGGTGCCCATTTTTTTCGCAGTACTATAAAAATAATACATCAGATTTTATTACATATTAATTACATACTTGAGTAGCAAGTCGCACTCTCATTTTAGATGTGCTGTCTAATTTAATATGTCTCTCGGACAATTTTGGACATGCTCTCATGTTTCCGACATGATTCCTGTGAATGTTAAACAGAATCTCAAAGTACTTCCACTCGATATAATTGGTCGTACAATTGATCTAAAAATAGTTTTCGTAGTAATTAGTATAATAGTAATTAGTATAATTAAGCGAATACGAATTCTTTTAATATAGTAAAATTCTTTCAAATGCCATTTAATCAATCAATTTACCCTTAAACGGCGTTTATTATATAAGCGATTCCGAACGTTTTTTATTAAATGGGGCGTGTCACAGAAGACAAATATTTTCCGGTCGTTATCAAGTGGATGAGTGAACCATGTCTTCATGTCATGATGACAAATTTTTATATCCAATATGGACCACATCTTTGTATTTGTTTTTGCGCCGTCCGCAATTACTCCGTGTATTTTTGCCCCAATGCTTTCTATGTATACAACTGCTTTTGCTACCAATTTTGCAAGTTCTTCGCCTTTTACGGGATTTTTCGAAGCAAAAACTGCCACTGGTTGTGTATATTTGTCTGCTAGTAATTGAAACATCAGGACGAGACCATGAGTTGCTTGTTCACTCAGATCTGTAGATTGCTGTTCATCATCACCCAAATCCGTCAAACCAACGTACGTGAGATTTTTAGAACAAACAGCAACGGATTTTCGAAGATTAATTTCATCTAACAGCAACACACCATGACGTTGTAGTGGCGTTCTAGTCTCGAATTGTTTTTTTAACAGTTGTGCAAAGTGTTCATCAAAGCCACATTTGGTGTTGATAAGAGAAATATAGTTTCGAATTGTTCTTGTACACGGCAACGGCATAACATTGTTTTTGCGCAGGAATTCATAAAATCCAGGTGACCAAATATTCATTAAAACACATAACATGATCCATTCGTCCGTGTAACGTCGGCCTCGATCGTGTTTTTTTGACGCAGCTGCAATAATTTCTTTTAAAGCTATTCTCTGGGTGGCGGGTACTTTTAATGCTGAACACTTTTCATTCAATGTTTGATCCTGAATAGCAACAATTTCAGCTTCTTTGTTTTTCAATGACTGCATTAATAATTCCACACGATATTTAGTACGTTTTGCCTTCCGTGTTTGATTGTTCAGTTTTTTTCGCATTGATGCTAACTTTTTTTGATCAATTGGATTTGACGATTTTAAGACACGATTAAGCGCCTTGCAACTCTCCAATTTTTTTCCTTTTTGTAGTACTGATTTTCTCAACTTATTGCAACGATCACATCTTTTTTTTTTTTGACAGCAGAGAACATTCGTGGGCACGCCATTCATCGACATAATCCTTGAACGCGCATTGTTCCGGAATACAATAAACATTAATATTTCCTAGACCATTGCATATATTCTTATGTTGAAACCTTTCCAAAACAACTGGCAGCGATATAGTGTTGTTCCAAAATTGTACAAGGTCAGTATCGTTTTCGTCAACGAGATTACCGTATACATAGTAGCGGAGTTTTCTTTGAGTATCAAGAGTTACGCTTTTTTGTGTAACCGGAGAATCGACGCCGTTTTTTATTCTCATAACTGAATATGTAAAGAATACATGTTGTTTTTCACGCGCATGTATTTCGGTGACCCCCCAATTTTTAGGTAAATTGGCAGAAAAATTTTTGCTACATTCTCCACTTTTGAATAATTCATGACCTAGCAAAAAAAAGTACAATAAAAAATTATAACGATTCTTCACAACTAATTGTTATTAAATAGATATCATCAATTGCATAAACTATGATATAATGTACTCGCAAATACGTGAGAGTTACAGAGAACGAAAGTTAACATAGGGTAACTCCGGTATATCCGCACTTAAGGAAAACTTACTTTATCAAGTACTATTTACTATGTTTAAGGCATGTTTATACTGTCTACTACTCGCAAAGCGCGGGCGAAAAAGCTAGTGTCATATATCCTAAACAGGTGAGATATACAAGATATCAAACTAAACAAAAAATACAAGAGCTATATGCACTTGTATTTTGTTGTATTCTATCCTTTATTACTATCCCTTCACACTTATGTACACTTATGTGAAATAACCATTAAACCTTTTACATTCCCTACAGTAATCATTTTACGTAGTCTATGATCGTAATATATATGATCGCGCTAAAGAACTGAAATTGCAACACAATATTAATATATATGACATAAAGGCACATAACAGAATAATTGCGAGCAAATACCTTCATTTCTTTAATTTTTTTTTTATGTCTGCGGCGTAAATACTGGAGTTACACTATTTCTATATCAATTTGAGATAAACGGAATTTTTGTGTTTAAAATTTTTATTATATTTACAACTGCGTATTGAGCGACACCTCTTAACTACAATGAGTGGAAAATGCAACTTACATTCGCTAATGACTGAAACA